ATGAGGGAGGGGCTACTGCCTCCCCTTTAGGGGCAAGGGGGCCCTTTGAGGACAGCAGGGAGCTCTGTGGCACTGCCAGGGGTGTAGGAGGAAGGGATGTGGCCAGGCAGCCTGCTGCAGAGCTGAAGCCCCAGCCCAGGGTGGGGGGTGCCACAAGCATCTTCCTTCCAGCTTACGCTGGGGCTGGACTCGCTCTGCCATCACCCGCACAAATTGGAGCTGCTGTGCTCCAGCCCAGTTGGGACAGGGGTAGTTGTGGGAGCCCCCTATGGCAGGGCTGGGGGGAGCAGGGGGCTGTGGGTTGGGAGCGAGGGGCACTGGCAGAGCTGGGGGGGTGGAAGCTGTGTGTCAGGAGTGCAGGGGGCTGCAACTTGGGAGCGAGTGAGCATGGCCAGAAGTGGGGTGCGAGGGACTGTGGGTCGGGAGTGAGGGCCACTTGCAGGGCCAGGAGTCTGCAGGTCAGGAGTGAGGGGCAATAGCAGGGATGGGGGGGTTCAGGTTGGAACTGAGAGGCACCAGCATAGCCTGAGGGCCGGCGAAGGACTGCGAGTAGGGAGTGAGGGCAGCAGCAGGAATGGGGGGCTGCAGGTCGGGAGTGAGGGGCACTGGCAGGGCCAGGGGGCTGTGAGTTGGGAGTGAGGTGTTGTCCAGACAGGTGTCGTCTTTTTTGAAACTGGAAATATGGCAACCTTAGTACAGAGCTAAGCCATGGTTAAGCCCATTTGAAAATCTCACTCTAAATAACTTGTCCTGAGGCACAGAATGAGTGCTAGGACCATGTTAGGAGTGTAAAATTCCTAACTTCTAGCCTTGTGTTCAGACCATGAAATAATGCCTTGCACTTAGGAAGGGTGATGGGAGCTTTGGTTTACTTTGGGATCTTGTAGCATGTGGCTTGCAGTTCTGGTTCAAATGACCTTTTCATTTTATTCAAGTTGTCCTTGGCTATGAGAGGATTCCAGTGTAAAGTGAATTTGCTTTTCAAAAACTCTACTTTGCTGATGTTTTGCTGGGGAATGAATTGACTCTCTGTACTTGTGGGATCTTCGATACTTTCTGCCTGCTTCTATTTTGGATCTCTTCCAGTGTTTTGATTCCATTCTTTTTTTTCCCCCAGGCACAGTCCATCAAGGTCAATCCTTTGTACATCATGATCCCAGGGACTCTCAGTGCCTCGTTTGCCTTCATGCTACCTGTGGCAACTCCGCCGAATGCGATAGTGTTTTCATATGGTCACCTCCGTGTTGCAGACATGGTAAGCTGATGATGATAATGGATGTCGAGTGTGTCACCCAAACCTTCCATTACCATCTGTCTTCATTATTTCAGATTCATCTTGGTTTGATCATCTGTATTTCCTTGGTTCTGTCATAGGGTGCGTGAAAACACCATCAGTGCCTAATCCTGCTTAGTCTGTTTGGGGGGTGACATTTTAATAGGTGCTTTTACATAAAAGGCAGTGAAGTTTTGCTTACAGAAGCGGGTGCACACAGAATCAAACTGATATTCAAACTAGGCTCGATCCTGCCTTGAGCGGGGCATGGACTAGATGACCTCCTGAGGGCTCTTCCAGCCCTACTTTTCTAGATTTGTTGAAAGATTCATGAGTCTCTCCAATCCACAAAGCCAGGCTTTCTGCTCATTTCAATCCCATTGTTTTCAAGGGAAGTTGGATCAGTGTATCTACAGGGCTGATCTTGCTCCCATGAGTCAAAGGTAATGCTCAGCATTAAGCTGATAATACAATCAGCCTGCTGCACCGGCAGCCATCTTTGGAGTCAGTAGTGAGGTTCTGACCAGGATGCACAGGCTCTTTCAGATGCATGATCTGATTCTGTGGGTGGTCGAATCTGGCCCTTAATCAATAAGTGTCTTGCTTTACAATTGTTAAAGAGCACAAATGAATAGAGATCTGAGCACACCGTGTTCCACGGCAAGAGCATTGAAGCAAGAGCATGGAACATCCAGCACCATGATTACCTGGCTTTAAGTTGCTCGCGTGTTGAAATTGCCCCTTCAAGTTTCTGCATTGTATTTATGCTAATGGGTTCTGGCAGGTCTCTGGACACTCATTGTGCTTGTGTGTATTTTGCCGCAGGCTAAAACAGGATTCATCATGAACATTCTTGGAGTCCTTTGTGTCACTTTGGCCATCAATACTTGGGGACGCCCCCTGTTTGACTTGGACACTTTTCCATCTTGGGCCAACATCACGTCTGGAAAGTGAGCATTGAAGAATGTATTGGAAAGATGAACTTGAATGCTGTTTTCTCATTGCCCCGAGACCTATGTAGTGCCTTATTGGCAGTGCGGATGCTGTGTTAGATGAATACAACATCGTGGGGCCCAAATTTCTGGTGAGGCACCAGCCAACTTGAAATCATTCCAGTCATGACTGAGCCATGAGGACAGCTTCTGTAGAGATCTCTGATGAGCTGTGATGGTAACACGTTTGTTGTGATGGACTGATTCATGTGCGTTTCCAAGCAAGTGGGACTGCAGTGCTAGATTTTATTTAACAATAATAAGAGAAGAAAGGCTGCTCTGTAAAAATGGATCAAACCATCAAGTTAGTAGCATTCACGTGTAAATCATTAGCATAGGACACTGCATACAGTCAAGGGCTTGCAATTCATTAACTTCCTCTTGTGTCCATAAATCACCAATTGTACCAAGTGTCCCTGCTGTCACTGGCAGCCTAATGGAAGAAGGATTTACTTAGAGTTGGGCTTAACAACGTGAAGAGAAACTCTTTCCAAGTACACATCCAGCAATGTTCACCCAGGCCTTGGCTTCACTCCCAAATCACATTAGAGCGACTGCGATGATGAACGAACACTGCGCTGGCCACGACTTTGGAATGCAGATAGGCAAGGAGGTGTTGTGGTTAGCTTTTACTTGCTATGTTGTGGTGCAGGCAGAAACAAGGAGGATACTGAGCCAAGTATTGCTTCACCAATGTACATGCCTTATTGTAGGCAACCTGGAAGTGAGACAGATAGACTGCACATAGACTTCCAGGTGTAATGAAACTTCTTAGCTTAACCTCTTACATGCCTTCCAGTTAGTTAACTCCTTAATGTGGGAGTGGAGACAAGGCCTAAAGGATGGGTTTTTGAAGGGGGAACATATTTATAACTCTAATTATGGACCAGGTTCTAAAAGTCTTAATCATTGTTCCCTTTGAGATTGGGCCAGCTGACTCCAGTAGGGGTTTTGTCAAAGTATTTTGCAATTTAAGGCCCTATGTGTCAAGTGTTTCACAGCACCTGGCTTATAACTGGAATAGCACCATGATTTCTCTCAATGTTTCTGAAGCAATAACGTCTTCAGAAGAGCTGGTGACAGGTGTCTAGAGGTATAGCTGGTCATGCTGTGGCTTCTTTGACAGTGAGACAAAAAAAGGGTTTTTATTTATTCTGTGGAGACTAAATTAATAGAAGCCAATGTGGCATTGTCTAGTGGGATGGCACCACCTGAGTGCTTTCGCAGTCTCACTGTGTGCGGCCGTAGGCAAGTCATTTAGGCTACAAACAGATGTTGCATTTATCCCGTGATATACCATATTATCCTGGGACCAAATACAGTCATTCAGATGTTTGTGTCCATTATCCTGGGATAAGCCCTAAAAAGGTTCAGGGGATAAGAAGTATTAATGGTTTATCCTGGTATATCACAAAGTGTGTCTGAATGGTTAATCTGGGATTACGTCGCTGCTTCAATGGCAGAAGAGCAGCAGTGCATTTAGCCGCTCAATAAACTCTTTCTGAAGGGTGATGTGTGTACATGCCAGTCCTGGAATATTTCTGTTCTGGGACAAACACACGCAGAAGTGGTCCAGGGACAAATGCAGCATCTGTTCCTAGCCTTAACTTTATAGTGCCTCATTTTCCCTGTGTGCCTAATGAGGAAAATGGTGCTGACCTACCTCACAAGGGTGTTGTGAGGGCTGAGGCCCTAAATCCTGCCACCCCGGTTCCAAAGCCTGAATAAGGGCTCAGGATCTGGCCTCTAATGAATCAATGGAAGTAAGATGTTTAATGTTGTTGTTGTTGTTAACATGACTTTTTTTTCTTTATAGAACTGGAAAAAAAGATTTTTTACTTTGCCTTTAAAAGCAAGGAAATATCTATAAAACACCTGGTGTTGGAGAAAGAAATGTTTCCTGTGTGGAAAACCTTTTAGCTATTGTTTGAATTCACTATGTAAGGGTTTGATTCTTCACGGTGCTGGACACCCTTAGGTCCACTGGCACTTGCTGTTAGCATCTCCTAAGGAGGTGTGCAGTGGCTCAGACCTGCTGTAGGGGTATCTATCTACACCACTACAAAGGGCCAAGGCAGCCTGGGCAGCTGCCTTACAACCACAGGGGGAAGACAGGAAATCAAATAGGAACAGGTGATAGTGGCTGGTGAACATCACCCAACAAACAAAACCTCTTCATCTATTAAGCAAGATGTCAGTTCCAATAAGAAATGCTATGATTGTGGGGATCTAGCTTTGCTGAAATACCTCTAGGAAAACTTGGTGAAATCACTGGAAGTTAGATGCTTAGGTGCTTTAAGGGATCTCATCTTTGGGAGTGCAAGTACTGTCTAAGCTGGAGCACAGGCTGCCTGGCTTTGAGACGCTGCGATTGCCCTCTACTTTCACTGATTTCACGGGGTTGGGTCCACGGATGGTTTTTGCTATAGGAGAGTCATTAGCAAAGCATCCCTGACTACTGGCTGTGATTTGTTAGTGCATAAATTCTGTGCTTGGTTCTCAGTTTTCCTTCCTGTCAAAACTGATTCTCCTGTGGAAAAGCATTTCTCTTATGAAGGAGGTTCCTGTTAAATGTCGTAACTCGGTCATTCCTCAGCTCCCCATGCAGAAGTGAGTGGAGGGGAGTTTTCTTAAGCAGGATGCATTTAAATTATTTGAATACTTTCCTTTTAGCCAAGGAAATTTTTTTTGGTTCCTGTGCTGCTGCAGGAGTGGAGGTTTAAACTTTCTATTCCACTATGAACACGTAAACGGTGTTATTTAAATTTCAGGGGGAACACAGAGAGGTGGAAAGAATGAAATATGGCTTCAGAAGTCTCAATCCCTTTTTACTGAGATAATTGAGTCCACTTTGTACGCCGTATGGCGCAGTCTTGTAAATATTGACACTTTCTTCCTTGCTGAAGCAACTTTGGTGATTTTTTTTTTTTCTACAATTGATTTGTTTTAATGTAAGTGGGCAAGTCACAGGACATGAACCTGCCGGACTCAATGGGGTAGAATTAATCTTTTCTTCAGCACAGATTACTTTTCTGGTTACTCAGAGGAAGGCTGGATTCTCCATCCCAGTTCACCCTGAATTCACTGGTGCTGGTGTCGCTCCATTGAAATTGCTTGAGGGACAAGTGGTAGAGAACCACCCCCAGGGTATTCTTTGCACCTAAGGGAAGGTGGTTGGAAAAGGAGTTTAGGATTTCAAGGTGTGTTGTAAAAATGTGTGAGTCAACACCTTCTAGGCCAGTGGTTCCCAACCTTTTTAGGCTCGAGGCATTCCCTGACAGCCCTTTGGAATTTGCCACCTTTCAGTTTTCACTCATTTTTTGACTACTGAATAATAATAAAGCAATTTTTCTGTTGCAAAGGGCTCAGAAAGAACACGTTGGGTCAGAATGGTTTTTTTAACACTATGGTTTTCTGCTTGAAATCTCTGGGTTTATCTTGTGAATCATGTTTGCACACCTAATGGTGCCAACTTTGTACACAGTGGTCTTGAAAGGATCTCAGGGCACTCCTGGATGCTGCAGCTCCCTGGCTGAGAAGCACTGTTCTAGGTGCTAGTGTAGACTGTAATATGTGATGAATTGGTCAAGTTTGAGCCTAGGTTTATAAAATGAAAGGGAAGAGTTGCCTTGTGTCAGTGAAGAACATTTATTGCTGAATGCAAACCTTAAGCGGATGTCCTGATTGTAAAGCATACATGTCAAGGCTTCCCACTTCCCAGCAGTGGGGTAGTTGATAATCCAAGCTCGCCTCGATCTCAGACTAACCCAAGTAGTTTTTACATAGACCAGGACCCTGGCACCATTGTTCATGTTGAGTAGAGCCCCACTCCCCAAGAAGCCCTGTTCATTTTAACGAGGTTTCCCTTGGGGCTGGGTACTATATATTAATAATAATGCAAGTCCTGGTATCAAAGACAGGCCCTCCAAGAAGACCAAGTGAAACACAATGTCCCCAGTGTAATGGAGACAAACAGGCTTTTCTTCAGTGTCAAGCATGCATGTCGTCTTGTTCCAATGCCTTGAATAAACATGTTTCTTAAAAAATTGGCAGTGCAAAGACAACTCTACTCTGTTTCTGACAGTGCTGAGCCACATTGCCTTCCTGCATTGCAGGGTAGAAATCAGGATGGCAACTTGGGGAAGATAGCCTTTCAGCCTTTCTTGGAAAGTGACTGCTGTAGATCAAGAGATGCCGTAAGCTTTGATGGCCTTATTCCTCGCTGCCATGGTCCTGGGGGTACAGAAACCAGGCTCCACCTCATGCAGTGTGTTCCTGGCCACAAAATATGATGCCAGCAGAGGACGTGGAAGCACAGCATTCACAAGTGGCAGCTTCAGGGCCAACAGGCCAGGCCCGTTCCCTCAATCATGCTGTGGCAACCACCAGTTCCTTTTTGCTGCATGATAGAGCCTGACTCTGTGGCTGAAGGCATGTTGAGTGTCCAGCTGGCATTGCAACTGGCAGTAGTGTTTCTGAGGAGCTAACCTACTTCTCTCCTCTTTTAAATCCATTTCATAATTGAATCCTTGGTTCGACCCTGTCTTTATGCTCAAGAAGCAGTGGTTCAGGATTCTGTCTGCTGAGCAGCAAATACAGCTTCTTTCTGCCTAGATCTCCAGGTTTTTGGTGTGGGAGCTCTTACTAAGGGTAGAAGTGCTAGAGAGATCTCCCAAATGGAGGACCAGAGCAAATAGCTTCACATTAGATAGTGTCTGCTATGTTAGCGCGTGTGCATTGTGATTCCCAACAATCCCACTAACTTCAATGAGACTACCAGTGAGAATGAAGATACTTGTGTGAGTAACTGCAGGATGGAGCCTGTCCAGGGGAAATGTATTTTCTGACTGGGCCATGTTGAATAGGGAGTAGGACCATTTGTTCTGTCTTTCCTCTTGCAATTAGATCTTGTTGGAAGATGTGCAAGTGGAAAAAATTGCACTTCAATAGAAAGAGACTTTGAGGAAAATCAGACCCAGACCTGAATCCATACAACACTCAAAGTAATGAAGCATTCTGCTTTGGTCCACAAGAAAATTAAGGCTTAGCCCAGAGGGTCAGCTAAAATGTGGTGGCTTGTGTTACAAAGGTTGTCACACTAAATGTTTATAGGAGTCCCTTCTGGCTTACACCTGTGAGCATGCTCTATGCTGTGAATTCACATGGCTTTGTTAAATTCAGAGTTATTCTGATTTGCACCAAAAGAAACGATGAATCCAAAAATTGGAGAATCCAGCCCTCTTTTTTAGTGACAAGAGCTCTGGCATATTCAGATCCTGCTTTCCGGCTCAGGCTTGTCTCTGCCCTGGAGAGGGAAATGCCAGAATATAGCTGAAATGATTCACTGGCAATGTTTTGGAGCTGGGACAGGGGTGGAAACCAGTGGAAGAAAACAGCCTACTGAATTTATTCTGATGTAAAAAATGAGACATTTTAAACCAAACAGCCTAGAGGTGTCCCTTACCCTTGTTTTGGAATTCTGCAGACAGATTGCATTTGTAATACCTTCCCTCTTGCTTTCTAAACGTTCGTGTTGCACATGGAAGGAAGTGTTCAATCACAACTCCTTAATGTTTGGGCTGTTCTGTTGGTTCCCTGAGGGTGATGGATTGTTTTGTATTCTAGTGTGTCTGTGCGAATAAACATGTGACTTTCCAACCTTGTCCAGTCTGGTCTGTGCCATTGTGAAGTCAGCGACAGCTTTGTGTGCTAAAACGATGCAATCTCACGCAACTGGTAATTGGACCGTCACCTGTTTTGTATCCACTATTGTAACGTGATGAACTAGGAACAGGCACTGACCTGCCTGTGATTTGCTTTCAGCAATGACAGCTCCCTTAGGGTGTCAGTAGCAGATCACATTGAATTGGCCTGCTTGGCTGCTTTCCCTACTCGCAGCAATGTATTGTATGAAGTTTCCTTCACAATGCGGTACGTGCTGTCACCTGCTTGTAACAAGAATGACTCGCTTGTCATGAGACTGACTGAACAGAATAAACTTATTTTATATTATTCCTTTAAAATTATACAAAAATTAAAGCAGGGAACTTTATGGCAGGGGCCTTGGATAAATGTACAGGTGCAAAGCAAAGTAAGTGTGCTGCTGAACACGCACCCTTCCCCTATAAAGCCCATTCGTTTCAAAACCCACCTCCAGTGCATGCTGAGCAAAAAAACAACAGTGTTGAAACACAGTCTGATTCACTGACATCAAGATACTCCAGAGCATAGGGAGACTGTCCAGCATCTGAGGGCCCCTGATGGAGAATGCTTTACTGCTGGGGTTCAGTCCTGGCATTATCATCACTATACTATGCAAATGTAGCAATCTGAAATTAGAAGGGAGCTGAGGGACAAATGTAACCCTCTTTCACAGCACTCCCAAAGCAGGTGGGAAGTGCCTGCTCATAGCAGAGCTGAATCTGTTCCCGTAGGCCTTGTCAAAAGCCAAAGTCACTTAGGTCTGACTCCCTTTTAAATCAATTCAGTTGAACAGGTGAGCTGCACCCTCTTCAGCTGGTGATTTACAGGTGCTGGGTAAAACCCTGTGAGCCAGATCTAAACTGAGCACAAACGCACGCAAACAGTGTCTCAAACTAATGAAGCTGGTGAAACTTCTCAGGGTGGATGAGGTCTTCCGGGGTTGAAAGCATTCAGACTTGTTCATGACCCAGGTGAGAGGACAGGAGAGGAAATCACTATAGGGAGAAGTCTGAACAGATTGATTACACAGCATGATGCCCCCTCCTACCTCTAGCGCTCGATGAGATGTTTTTAAATGAGACATTGGGCAGTGCAGAGGTTTGGCAGTCAGGTGTCCTGGGTAGTGTCCCAGGATTTGCAGTGACCAGCTGTGTGTCCTTGGGCAGGGCACTCTAACTTCTCTGTGCCCATTTCCCCTACTATAGAAGAAAGATGGACTATTTAATTATTTTCCTCCTTGAGAATGAACTAGTCAGTCTGTATGACACCCTGATGATGTGAAATGCCATGTAGGATTATCATTAACAACCGAACCAACAGGAATGACTAATTAATCACCATGTTGTTGTTCACACTCTAAAAATAGTGCCCTAGGAGAGGGATTTATAGTGTATTTTGGTCTAAACAAGCATGACAAATGTCTAGAAACGGGAAGAGAAGCTACCCAAAATTAGTATTTACAGGGTGGCCTATACCTTAGTTATATCATACCAGTGGAGCCTACAGTTCTCATTCTGTACTAAGGCAGATTTTAGGTTACATCTGTCTCTGGTGTGGCTCTGTTGAGATCAGTTAAAATTACACCAGGGGTGGGTATTATGCTGCCTATGTCATTATATTGTGGGATTTTCAGTAGTAATGCAAACAGGATTTTCATACATATTCATTTGAATGTGAGAGTCAACATGTGCTAGCAATGAAATGCCCACCCTAAAGCTCTGGAACTAGGTAAGGAATAGAAAAAGGAAGGTGACGGGATGCAACAGTGATAGAAACTATAGAAATGCTGAGAGCCAGACAGAGATCAGCTAAACTGAAATGAAAGCTTTTCTGGACTCAGTATTTTACAGCAGTGAGTTGTAACTAATGAGCTAGAAACTAGAAAATGAAATGACCCATTGGTGAACACCAGTGAAAGAGTGTGCGTTGCACTGGCAAAGGCATGTTTAAAGGATGCTTTTCCCCCTGTATATATGCTCATCTTAATTAGCAACCATCCCTTTTAATTTTAAAGATAATTAAGATAGCAAAAGGAATACAATAATCCAAAGCCCCTACTCATCTGAGTATGTGACAACAAGATAGTGAGGCACATAGTATGGCAATGGGACAGTCTGAGACTGGGAAAACTAGAGGTTTTATTATACTCCCTCAGCTATAGGCGTACTCTGCATATAAAAAGTAGAAGTTGATCTCAGGTGCATAGCAAAAATGGGTTCGGATGTGGATCCAGCTCCCTGAGGCTGGGGGGTAGAAGGGAGAGGTTGGATCTGGGGTTTTGACTCAGAGCCATTGGCAATATTCAGATTCTGGGCACCCTTGTATTTGGGGATGTTGGATCAGCACCTGGGGTTTTGGCTCATTTTTGTTTCCTGCCTTGGGGTTTTTTGTCTGACTTAATAACAGAGCACAAGAAGAGTCTTCTCTTGAAGCTGTGCAATGATGAGCATTCTCCAGGCCGAGTCAATTTTAAGGAAAAGCAAGCAAGACGATGCTCTTGGCTAGAGGCCACAGTGGCTAGATAGGCTGTGTTAATGCAAGTCATCCAGTGTGCAAGTGGGAGGGGAAGAGCCCATGTCTTCATTTCTGTCAAGCTCCCCCGAGTCTAAAGCTGGCTTTGCTAACAGGATTTGCCTCATTTGGAGAGAAACTTGCTAGGCATGCAAAGAAAGAAGATCGCGTTTGTCCCGCAGGATGCGAGACGGCAGGAAATAAGGGCTGGGATAGTGGGGCATCTGTCTGAAACCTTCCTTTTAGAAAAAAGGTATGTTAAATTATAAGTGCTCCCCTAGATGACAAACACTGGTTCAACTGTCAGGCAGAAGTGACCATGACCTTGGCAGGATTCTCCTTATGGCCCTGGATTTCTGCAGGCCAAACAGGGGAGGGGAGTCAGCAAATCAAAGGGTGATTGTAGCCCTACAGACCACATCTCTGTGGAATCACAAAGTGGGAGAGAAAAGCATCTCAGCTAAAACGTCTGCATCCATAACTCCTAATGACTGCATTGCAGGAAAGACCTGGAAAGTCTAATGCAGGGGCGGGCAATTATTTTGGGTGGAGGGCCACTTACTGAGTTTTGGCAAGCCATCGAGGGCTGCATGACAGGCAGCCCAGGGCAGACTAATATTAATTTTCGAATTGTTTTACAGGCCCCGCGGGCCGGATAGAATGGCTTGGCGGGCCGCATCCAGCCCATGGGCCACATTTTGCCCACCCTTGCGGCTGTTGCAAGTGAGCATGGGATTTGCATCAAGTATATGGAGACCCAAATAGGACCCAGTCAGATATTAGGGGGAGAAGTTGGTATCGGTATCTGTTGCCTGCCATCCTTAGAAACTATCGTGAGTGCCCAGAATCCAGAGTGTGACAATAATAGAGCTAAATATTGTATTGGAAACACTTCATGTTTGTTGAAAAGGACTCCACATCCAGGTCTCCTGAAGAATTTGACAGTTTTTAATAAAACGTCAGGATGCTTCTGTGCTTGGTAAGTATTATTACCTCCTATGAGGGACTAATATTTCTCTGCTAACTGTGTTCATGTTGGTGTACTGTTGCGTGCCTCAGTCTACCCAACTAGCTTTTACTCAGGAAAATAAGAGCTGATAGCTCTAACAGAGTGCCAGGTAAGACAGTAACAAAGGAATTGAATAGCTTTCTTGACGCATTAACAAAGGTGGGAGGTTGCAGAGGAGAATGAGATGAGCCAAGGGAAGTGGCTGGAAACCTCTTTCCTTGGGAGAGCAGAGGGAGGAGTTGGGAGACAGAGACCAGCAGAGGAGCTTTGGGGCTCAGGAGCTGGGTGGTCTGGAACAGGAACAGCTCCACTGAGTAATTTTGGGGTGCTCTGGGCTGTGTGGGCTGGATTGGAAATAGGAGGAACCCTTTGGACAGTGCAGAAAACATCTGGCTGGGTGGCCTTGTCCCCAGTCAATGCCCTTATTCAAGAGAACTTCTCTGTTTTGCTTCTTGGAACTCAGGGTTGTCCTCGTTCTCCCTGACGAGGGGTGAAGTAAGTCCCTTTCTCTGGAGTGAAACTGGAAATTCATTGCTTGAGTCAGGGCCACGAGAACCAGAAGTGGTGAGGGACTGGGAAGTCAGGGCCTTAGAGTGGCAGCCATGCTTGTGCTGGCTTTAAGGAACGCTCCGAGTGACCCAACACGGCCACAGTGGTCCCTAGCAAGCACCACCCTGAGGGGTCTCCAGGATGCATCCGTGTCACATAAGCAAGAGAAAAGGGCAAGGTTAAGTGACTTGCCTAATGTTACTGAGTAAGACAGTGCCAGGGTCAAGAGCGGCAGCCATGTGTCCTGGCTTCCAGTCCACTGCTCTAGCCATGTACCGGTAACAGCACTGCCCTATCCCTACATTGTGGGAAAATGCTATTATTGATGAAAACGTAGTTACTCAGCAAGATTTTGATTTATCTGGAAATGCAAGCATTAGAATTCCTCCCGTGACTCAGCTATTCTGCTTATATTGCAGCATCTTGAATTCCAAACTTGCTCCAGCGACCTTGCTCAAAATGTCAAACAGTCTTTAAAGCAGACGTAAAAATGCAGTCCTCCCCGCGAGTCATTATGTCAAAAAGGGAGCACGTGGGAGGAGGCAAGGGGAGAGCAGGCAGCTCCAGTGGACTTTAAAACGGCATGCCTCACCGCATCTGCTGACTTCCTTTCAAACAGAGTTGATTATGCTGCTATTCCAATACTAAATCTAGTTTTTTGGATCTTGGCTGCAAAAGCTGAATAGTGACCATTCATTACTGAATAACTGGACTGTAAATCCTTGTCATGAGATGGTGACCATGACTTTTACATAAAAAGGTGTTATCCTTCCCATGTTTACTTATGCACTTTATTTAACCATGCAGAATTACTGCCCAGCCTCTGGAAAGCAGCTCTTCGGTGAATCAGACAGCAATGTTTTCAAGCCAGACGTGTGAATCGTTCTGCTACCGCAGAGCAGCGATTCCTGTTGGCAACTATAGATCTCAAAAGGTGAGGAGAGACTTAACGTTCCTTGTAACAAAACGCACCTCCTGCAATGACTGTTTACCGAACAATCACACGGGCTTCGGTGAGGCCAGATTGAATATTTAGTAGGGAAGGTTGCAAAATTTCCACTAGAACTTAATTCTGAGGGAAAATTGGTTTGGGGATGAAATGTTGTCTTCTTTTTTTTGTGGAAAAGGTCTGTTTTCCTAGAATATTTTTCATGTCTGTTGGAAAGCCAGAAACCAGAAGCTTTTGGCCCAAATCCAGAACATTTTAGAAATGCCAGAAGACTGTTTGGTTTTTCTGCTGTGCTAGCTTGAAACCCTGTTACTGCAGAAGGCAAAGTATCGGGAAAGGGTCCCGATGTGGTATTCATAGTTTCATAGTTTCTAGGGTCAGAAGGGACCTGAGCAGATCATATAGTCCGACCCCCTGCCATGGCAGGAAGAGCACTGGGGTCAAATGACCCCAGCAAGGTGGTCATCCAACCTCCTCTTAAAAACCCCCAGGGTGGGAGCCTGCACCACCTCACATGGAAGCTGGTTCCAGACCCTAGCCGCCCTGACCGTGAAGTAGCGCCTCCTGATGTCCAACCTAAACCTTCCCTCTGCCAGCTTGTGACCATTGTTCCTGG